GTTTATATGTGTATATATACTGTATATAATAAATATCTGATACCCCAGACTGTGTCATTCAAGGAAATACTTACCTGTCAGAAAATAATTTCAAATGGAACAATTAATTTAGGTGTTACTTTTCTGTTGTTAAAGCACATTAAGTACATTTCCACAAACTATCATACTCTAGTGCTTAGCCCTTCAGGCTTTAGGATAATTATAACTTTCAGCAAAAAATTTGAGTAAACATTTGTATTATTGGTGCCTATCTTCAGATAGTATCATAGTAGGATAGATGCTGGGAATTTTGTAATTGAAGAGAACGGTTTTAGTTACCATTAGGTGTGTAAGGTCACTCCTGTAGAGCATGTCAACAAATTATTTTATAAATCTTAAAAACTAAGAGAAAAAAAATCCTCTATTATGTAATTTAAACATCCTACTTGTTTTGTAAAAATGTAATTATGCAATTTCCTTTTCAAAAACACAGGACTAAAAATACGAATCTATCTTATTCTATTTATAACAGATTTTTTTTACTTCTGTATGTATTTGTTGAACATATTTTTTTACTTCCAATTGTTTCTAGATTTCACTTTTTTCTTCCTTTTCCATAACCCATGAAAATAGTTTTAATTTGCTAGTTCATTTTTTGCTGTATTTGAAAATGAATTATTTAATGTAGAAGGCACTGAATTCCCTGCAAAATCTCACATGTTTAAAAACATGTAATTGTATCTGAATTTAGAATAAATTATGCTAATGCATCTTAAAACAAATAACCTCACCTAATCATAGTAGTTGTGGTAACCTAATCATTAGTGCAGAGCAAGCAGATAAAAAATATTTGAAATTTTTTTTTTCTTGAAAGTAAATGTAGTTATGAGTAGGTTAAGAGTATCTAATTTTCCTACTCATATTTTCATCTTTAGCGTTTAATGTTGAAACACCATTCACGTCACAATAAGGACCCACTGAAAATGTATTGTTTTAATGCATAACTGACATCTAATTAAACATACACACAAATTTAATTATTTTTTCTCTTTAACCTGATCACGACACGGCTCTTAACCATTGTCACTTGCAGTATAGCATAGTAGTTAGTAGTAAATTTCCTTGATGGCAGTAATTCTGTAGTAATTTCTATTCAATCAAACCTAAGAGAGCTTTGATCTTACTGTAAAGGTACAAGCAATTTTTTTTATATAATTCCTAGCTTTTTGTTTATGATTCTGATCAACTATAAGACACAGTGTAAAGATTTCTGGCTTATAATTTCTCTAAAACTTACTAGCTTTGTTTAGTTTGGGCAGGAGTTATAAACTTAATAGGAATTGTCATTTTACTTACAGTTTCTTTCCTGATTAGTTATTTTTTTTCCCCTCAGTTATCTTTATTCAGTCATATTGGTCAAAACAAACAAATAGTCCATCAACTAAAATAAGCTGTAATGAATTTAGAAGACGAATGCACATATTAGATTTCTATTTAAATCACTTGTGTTACAAATCGTACGAAGAACTTACAACTTTTTTTTTAAGTATTTTTTTAAAACCACAATTTTTTGTCTGTTCAAAGAAAGGTTAGATACTTGGCACACATTTGTTTCTCACTGAATTTTACAGTAGTAAATAAATGTTATAATGTACCATATGGAGATGAGTTAGTAAGAAATCATCTAGTTCCAGAGCCCAGAGATTATAAACAGTAGGTGAAATAGATTTATGACTTACGAAATATGTTGTGACAATATATTTAAATGCATTTTTACATTACTTGCATATTCTCACATTGATTTGTGCAATAGTTCACTTTTAAAAAAAAACTTCCTGTGCATCATGTATTTTATTTTTATTTATTTTCACAAGTATTTGACACTATGGTAGAATAAAAGATGATTGTAAGATTAAAAGTGTAAAAATTGCTTGTGTATTCTGAAATGTGTTAGGTTGAAAAAGTAAGACGATTGTGGTGACTTATTTCTTGTCCACTATATGTTTGTTTGTTTTGTTTTCTCACCAATAATGTCTTCATATTTAAACCTATTCAATAAAGACATGAAGCATAAAAATGCTAGTTCGTATTCACTGATGTCTTTTAGTCATACATAGAAAGATAGGAACCCAACGAAATATAAATATTTGAAATCAAAAATACAGATTTTTACAAATAAAAAGTAGCTCTTCATTGGCTGTATTCTTATGCCATCAGCTTTTTAAAATGTGTTACCATTTTATTGAAGTGTTTTCTGACATCAAAGTATTAGAAATGTTTTTGTTACAAGTATTTTAAGGCATTATTTTCATAGACAATATATTTAACAGTCACAAACGTTTGTGATGTCAAGGTTAATAGGAAACATCGACGTTTCTAGTTAAGAACTATACAGTTTATTGGCAAAAGTTATCTGTGATGAATATTTAGTATTTTAGACCATCATATTGAAAATTAAAAAGGAATTTAGTGAAAATTTCAGATTAGACATGTTTAATTTTTTCCTTAGGTTAAAGGTGAACACTTAACCATGAGTAGAAACTCTGGAGATGAAAAAATATTCGAACACACAGATAACAAAGAATCATCACAATGCTTGGGTATTTATTTTAATTGAATGTGTATGTATTTTACATGGTAAGTATTTTTTAGTATTGAGATAGGTTGATTTTTTTCAAATGACTGTTTTATTAAATAGAACTGTGGAGAAATTAAAGCCACAGTAATTTTTATTTTCATTTAGAAAAATTTCAGTTAAATGTTAACTCAATGCTCCTTATTTTAAACACAGTTTTACTTAGCCTGTATGTGAATTGCTTTTTAGCCACTAGAGGGTGCATTTGGATAATTATTTCATAATATTACTGGCCTATTATTTTTAAAGGCTTCTCAGCAATATACATATGATTTTTTGACAACAAGAAATTACAGAGATTTATAAGGGTAGTTTTATTTGTTTTGTTGTGATTTTAATAATGTGTTTATATCTTAGAAATTTTTCCCAGCTCTACTGGGGCACGAGGATTGCAGTAATTGTTAGAGATATTTAATAATTACAATTCACGATATTTTGTTAGCAAAATTATGCGTCTCAAGCATATCACTTATGGACATTACATGGGTTGGTAAATACTCCTTGAAATATTACTTTAATATTTCATCTTAGTTCTACCACAGTTTAGTAGGTTATAGTCTCATTTAAGATAAGGATCTTTTTTCCCCCAATCCTCTGGTCTAATTTAACATTATCTAACACATGAGGGTATGATCTATTTAAATAGGAAGCTAATAAGTGGTTAGACCAACTACTGTAAGGTGCACAAAGCTAAAGCTTTGTATTACCATGGAATAACGCTTTTATGTGCTCTTTCTGGTTATGCAATGATGGGGATCGAGAGAATAAGATGTGATTAAGTGTCTGCCCTCAAGTTGATACAATTCATTTGGAGAAACCGATACCTAAACAGACAATTACAACGTGGGACAAAAATAAGTGATTTATTTTAACGGAACTTTTGTTTATCATGAAGGTACCAACAAAGTGCGGCAGAAATATTAAAAGAGGGAGCTTCTTAGAACCATAAATTATACAGCTGACCATGTCCCATTTTTCTTTTCTTCCTTCTGCCAATGCTTGGGAGGAAACCAGAGTATGAACAAGAACTATTTTACCTCCTAGTGGAGAAAGGACATTTTGCAGTGGAAAGAACGTGTACGTGGTCCGTTTGATCTGTAAAATGTGAACTGCTTCTGTAGTCCTGAGGACTGAGGAAAAGAGATGTTGAGTAAAAGTTACTGATAATTCCAGCTGTTCAGTCTTACCTCACTTTTTCCTCTCTTTCTTTCTCTGCCCAAATACCTCTACTTCTGTGCCTACTTTAAATTTGCAACAGTGTGGCTGGGGATAGGAGACAGCCAGTAGTGCTGAGTACTGTCAAGTACAGTTAACAGTGAAATGCTGCTTTTTACTCATCAAATAAGCAATCTTAAATTATCATAAAACTGAAAACCTGAGGCGTTAAGATGAATGCCCTTATGTACTGATGGTGGAAATATAAATTGATGATAATTTTTGAAAAGGTCAACTAAATTTACGTTAAAAGCCTTTAAAACATTTGTGCTTCATAACCTAGTAATTTTATTTCTAAGACACACTTAGGAAAATAATCTGAATATAGGAAAATATTTATGCAAAATATGATAAATAGTACTGTATAGTGGTAAAGTTGAAGAAATTGGCCATTATAGCAATTTTAAATAACTTTAATGGCATAACAAGTTTTATTGCTAAGATAATTTTTAAAAAGCAAATAGGTTACTGTTTTTCAAAGTTAATCATGTTCATCTGCCAATATTTAATCTATACTTTAAATAATATATTGCTTTTCAAAAAGTTAATCATGTTCATCTGCCAGAATATTTGGTGAATCTGAAACTGCCACCTTTACATTGTTTTCTAATGTCTACAAATGTCTTGTGATCTAGTTAAGCTAGTTTGTTTTTATAATAACTGTATTGCTGAAAATGGTGTATCAATTATAGGTATGAATTAATGAAATTGTTCTAAATGTCATTCAAGAGGACATTTCATTTTTTAAATTTTTAAACTTTTATTTTTGTCAGTAAGCATTTTGCACATTTTAAAAATTGCAATTTTCAGGATGTGTAAGAAAAATATTTTTCTAATACTGAAATAAGCATGTCTCTGGTATAGAAATCACACCCTATGTGTGATCTTTAACTAAAAAAACTAATCAAGAACTATGATCTAATATGATAAACAAAACTATTCTTTGCCCATCCATCTGTCCCCTTTCATAGCCCCATTGTGGGACTTTAGAATATGGTTCTGTACATATCTCCATATCTACAAAGAATTAAGATGCCATATATGTTCAGAAGTTATATATGGTAGAGAATTAATTAGCTTATCCTTGACACATAATACAAAACACCAAAAGCAATATAAGTACAGGACAAGCAAAATAGAGCATTGTCATTAAGGTCAAATAATAGAAAAACAATCACATCATTTATGTTTGATGCATTGGAAACAAAGTAACTTTATAATTATTATGTGAACAGTTTGCAAAGCTCAAAAGGTAACAGCACAGAGCCATAAATTTGATAAGGTACTTTAAAGATAGCAATCAAACATATAAAAATACCAACTCCAAAAAAAAGAACTGTAAAAGTAGTAACCATAAAAATATGGAGGAATGTATGCATTCTTTCTAGATAGTCTTTCATTTTCCAAAGGAAAGCCTTCTATAAAAATATAGAATTCCAAATGTGTGTGTGTGTATATATATATATATATGTGTGTGTGTGTGAAAGCTGTCATCAAAGTTCAAATCTCTATAAAGAGAATGTTTTTCCTCAAGTTAGTAAAGTTTGGATTCATACATTTTCTAGAGAAGCAATTACAATCTTCATGCTATATATAGGAAGAAAAATAGCTTTTAATTACATTTGTCCACTCTTTTATTCAATAAACATTTAGTGACTATTGTGCGACACTGTTTTAGGTACTAGAGATATAGAAATAAATCAGAAACAATCATTAGCTCTGGAGAACTAAACCTAATGGAACTGGATCTTTCACTGGCAACCTTAAAATTACCTCCCTTTGTACTTAAGTTGAAGCTCAACTTCAAACTCTGACATGCTTGGCATCTTGTTGAAAACAAATAACAATCTACCTAGTTTGCCACTGGTAGCACTTTGGCACTATTAACTATCTACTGATGAAATTAACTTTCATAAAGGATTATAAAAAAGTTTAGAGGGCAGAAAATACTAACGGGTAAACAAGTACTGGTCAGCAATAAAAATAGCATCAGCCTTCTGCTTTCACAAAAGCCAAGAAAACCAAGAAAAAAATTATTATTGAGTATATACAGAACTGCTGGAAAGAGATCATTCTATACATGTAGTACATGTGCAAATATCATATATGAGGAAGTATGAGTTATGACACAATCATTAATAACTAAGCATGCCAAATCAGTCATCAGGTTTTAAAGAATCATAGCCTTCTTTCAAGAGGTCCCACCAGGTTTTAAGGAAACATGCATTTGCTGTACATTTGAAGACAAGTTCTTCCACTTGAGCTGATACTGTAGATGTGACCTCAAGAAATTGGTTAATGAAAATACTGCATCTCTGATCTGCATCTCCACTTTCTCCAGCAGGTCTACCATTCGGCCATTGCTCGTGCTCAGACCTGGCCAGCCCAAACTCACTGGACATGTGGGGAAGATGCTGAAAGGCGTCTAAAGATGAGGGAGAAAAGGGAGGTTCTGGGGGCTGGTGAAGAAACCCATAACTCCTCAAGGTCGGCCACGGGGAAGAGCTAGGAGAGCTCAGAATCCGACCAGCAAGAGAACATTTTAAAACAGGTTTTTTTTTCCTCTCTCTTTTTTTCACCTATGATTTTAAGAGTCCAGGTAATACAAGTGAAGTTTTACTATATAGAGCATAGAATAAAAACAGTTGATCTAAATATTTAAGAGGTATTTTGCCATGCTATTGTTGAGCTGGGGTGAATATATATTTACATTTCTGTATATCTACATATGTATGAAATATTTAGATCTGTTTTCATATATTTGCCTATTTAAAGCTTAATTTAAAAAAAAAGTTTTATTATTTTTCTTCTAATTATTGTCAAGGGGAACATTTTAAGAACTAGAAAGTTTTAAAAATATATATATTTTACTTATCTTCTCAAATGTATAATTCTTAGAGGGAAAACTCATATAAACTCTTCAAGAAACATCAGGAACTTTAAATTTTATTTTAAACATTAATTCCTTAACTGTGATTCACTTTGGAAACATACTATTCAATTAACTATTAATTTGAAAATTCAAAAATAGGTTTTTCCATACGTCTTACTATCAGTGAAATCAAAATGCATTTGAATAAGCAACTGGTATGCTAGAGCAGCTTTATACCCTCTCTGAGGCAGTCTATTCTCATGCCCTTCCCTTTTAGTAAACACTGTCATGTTTCTCCCTCTCATATCAGGAGAAAGACTGTTTCTCACTGATGTCATTACCAGAAAGCTTTTTTCGAGGAGGAAGAGGTCTTACCACTTATTGGCTCAGGTACCATAATTTAAGTAGAAAACATTGGACAATATAAAACACTGCCCAACTCATATCTACTAGTGAAAAATTATTTTGATTTGTGATGTATTTCAAATCTAAATTATGTTTTTATCTGTAATGGGCATTTGTCATCATTATGGCTAGCACCTTTTGAAAATCCTATGTTTGGCAAATTTTCCATGGTGAAAATCTCACTGCATCAAAATTGTATCTAGAATTTATAGTTTTCTATACTTTCTTACAGTGAGGGAGTATTCATGTGACTTGGGAACTACTGAACAGGCTTGGATTCTGAAACAAGTAATATGAAATGGTCACTACAGCCTCCATTTCCTAGTGAAGATGGTGGAGTTTTAATGGAGAGACACTGAGCTTCTAAGGTAACTGTGGCAGAGCATCCAAGAAGTGACACCCTTATTGCAACATGTGGCCTGTTCCCCATGGTAGCGTTTTAACTGACTGCCCTACCCTCCAAGTGTGGAGGATGTTCAGCCAGAAAGAGTGCCAAGTTTGTGATTATAACTTGGGCATTGTTTCTGCCTGAACAGCCTCCAAACTTGATTATCTGGCTCTCCCAGAGATTCTGTGCATTTCCCAATAGCTTTTAGTTATTATTATTTTTTGCTTAAACTGACTAGACTGGGATCTGCTGTTTGCACTCAAAAAGTCTTCAACAACCAAATTTGGTATAACTTGTACTTTCCTTTTACAGTGGCTGTAGTAATGGGGGATATGTTAAAACCATATTTTACTGGAAAGAATATTCAATATACTGAAACAAGACAGCTTCCTTAACCCAATCATAGTGTTAGATAACCACAAACTGAATTTAAGAAGTGTGCTTTGAGTATAATCATATGCATCTTGCAGGATGAATTTGAGGATTATCAGTAACATGTATAAAATCTTTGCCATAATCTGTGACATTTAATAGGCCTCAGTAAATGTTATGAATTATTTATTACATAATGTTAGATATATGTGCATGTTAGATGTTGATCAAATATTTATTTTATTTAATTCCCACTTGGCACTATTTTAGGTGCAGTGAACAATGCAGTCAAAAATCTCTGTTTTTTGAATTCACATTCTAATATATGAAGATTGAAAATAAATATGTCAAGCAAGTGAATATGCTTCATATTAAATTCTGACAATACCATGGAGAAAAAGCATGGGAAGGGGGGTTAAAAGGGAAATATGAGAGAGGGTGGAAGAGGGTTACAATTTTAGATAGGGTATTCAGGGATGATTTCATTGAAAAAGTGATATTTGAGCACAGACCTGAAAGAGGGGTGAGCCATTATTGTGTATCTTTTTTTGTTTACTATACTTGTTTCTTGAATTATTTTCCTTTAACATTTAGTGCTTTCTGTTAGGGTATTCAATATGATTGATATGTGCAAATGTACAAGAGAGGAAAGAGTATTTCATGGAAAGGGTTAAATAAGAGCACAGGCTCTGTGGTGGGAGCCCAGTGCCTCTGGAATGGTGTGTGCGTGCAAAAGAGGAGAAAATTAGTCATGTAACTAGCCAGCCGGATTATGTATGCTTTAGAGGCCATTCGTATGACTTTGGCTTACTCAGAGTAAGATGGGAATAGGAGAGTGACCTGATCTGGCTTAAACATATAACCTGAATATACTTTTTAGCCCCTAAATTAGTGAGATATAAAAGCAAGAGAAAATAATTGTCTCCCATTCCTCCCTAAAGTGGTATTGATCAAATTAAGTATTCTTAGCACTCAGTTTTAAGAAAACTATTACACGGTATATTGTAGAGTTGAAGCAAACTGAGACTTTCCTCCCTCACCTGAGTGTAAAACAAAATGATCAGTTTCCGTAATAGTGCCCTCCTGTCCTCTAATCTCTCATCCTTAGTCCCACTCATTAGAAATAAAGCCCTATTTGTTATTGACTTAACTACTTTGTCTTGCTTAGGATGCAAAGATTAGTCATCAATTCTGGTTTCTTATTATAGTATCTAATGTTCATAAATTTACTTTTCATTGTCATTTCCTCATTCATCAATGTAAAATAATCTCAATAGAACTTTCATATACAAGGGACAGAGATCCTTTTAGTTACCTTGAGAAAAAGAGTTTGACAGAAGGTGCATATGGATAAGAACTGGTCCTGAGAAAGGTCCTGAGACCATTAGGTCCTGAGAAAGCTCCAAGGACTGGTATATCTGTGGACCTCTATGCCTCTCTTAGTTCATCTGTCCATTCTCTGTTGCCTTCTTCACTGTGGTGTATCTTTTTTGCTTTCCTTTTCTTTCAGCTTGCCAGTGCCCAACTTAATTAAACCTTGCAACTTCTTCTCCTTTTCATTGTGATTTGGAGCAAATTCATGTGAATGTGGTTGTAATTCCTGGCATAGAGCATGTAAATCACCACATCTTTTCAAGTTGCATGACATATGTAATAGGTTATTAGCCAGCGTGTTAATTCGTTGCACTTAGGGGAGTTGCCTTATTCTCTCTTCCCTTTAGTTGGGACAGAGGAATGAGTTCACATGATTAAAGAACATGGCCACTTAGAATGCATGTGCAGAATATTAATAAAATTAAAAGAAAAATAATAGTGCAGAATCCTTTTCAGGTCATGTCGACATTCCAAGGAATGATTGACACATTTCAATAAAAAGTATTTGTTTGCATTTTAAGAGTCAAACTAGAAAATTTGAAATTTGCTTGAAGTGGAAATGTAGAAATGTATCATAACTCTTTATGACTATTAATTTAGTGCTGAATTTCTTAATAGCAGTAGAGTGACAAACCCCTGAGAAATATGTATCTAAACCTTCTGATGAGGGGGCAATGGGTAATTTTAAAAGGCAAATTCAATATATCTATTATTTTTATAATACAAACATCAGAAAGTAAGTTGACACAATCTTGGCTGGGGGGCTATGCAGAAGATAAATTAAGAATTTTAAAAGTGAGATTTCATAAAGTTCTATGTTCACAGAGGCAAGATTTCTATTTTGCAGATGTCATTACTGTCTTTGTAGAAAATATCACTCCATAAACAGCTAGAACTAATAAGTGAGTTTAATAATCCTGTATCCATAGGATATAAGAACAATATACAAAAGTGAGTCACTATTATATATCAGCTATGAATTCTGAATTGGAATATTACAATACCATTTGTAAAAGCAGACATGTGCATAAAAACCCAAATAAATAGTCATGCGTGTATCTAACAAAATAGGTGTAGAATATGTATGCTGAAAACTATAAAACACTAAGGAAAGAATTCAAAGAAAAACTAAATAGAGAAATATACCATGTTCCTTAATCCCAAGGAATAACAGAGTACAAATGCCATTTCTCCCCCAATTTAATCTATAGTCTCCATGCAATCTCTGCTGATATTCCTACAAGCTTTTTTTTTTTTTTTTTTTACTGATTTAATAGACTGATTCTAAAATGTATATAGAAAGGCAAAGCAACTAGAATAGCCAAAACAACTTTGAAAAATAAAAACTGGAGGACTCAAATGACCTAATTTCTAGAAATGTTATAAAGCCATAGTAATCAAAACTATGGTATTGGAGAAAGGATACATAGATCATCAGAACAGAGCAGAGCATCCATAAATATGCACACATAAATATAGTCTACCAAAATTTACAATAGTGCAAAGGCAATTCATTTGAGAAAGTAGTCTTTTCAACAAGTGGTGATGATACAATTGGATGTCCATATGCATAAAATGAAACTTGGTACACATTTTAAGTCTCGTACAAAAATAAGTCATGAACCTAACTGTAAAACATAAAACTACAACTTCTAGAGCAATGCTTTCAAGTGGGAGTAACTTTTGTCTCCCAGAGAAAATGTATAGAGACATTTTTGACTGTCAGTACTTGGGGGAGGACTTCACTGGCATCTAGTGGGTGCAGACCAGGGATGCCACGGAATATCCCACAATGCACAGCACAGTCACTGTCACACACACACAAATGCCACTTTCTAGTCTGGATAAATATACCATGGTTATGTAAGTATCCCTTTTTAGAGGAGCAGAAACTTGGTAAAGGGTATATGGGAACGCTTTGTACTCCCTTTGCAACTCTTCAGGGCAATAGACTATACTTCAAAGTCTAACATTTAATAATTTCCTAATTTATTTCTGTGAAGGCATCATGTACTGTAGCAGATGTATTCTGCTTTGATGGCTTGCAAAATCACTTTGATTCTTCAACTAAATGTATTAAATGTGTAAATATTGCCAGTCATGTATTATATGTTAAAAATTTGAGACCAATAAAATATTTTCAAATGTCTCCTCTTTGAAGAAGCTTTTCTGTTTCATCTAACCTAAAATACGACCTTTCTCCACCAATCTTTCTGATGTTCTCCCCATGGAACTTTTTTCTGACTGTTTTTCCTTTTCTAAGGTGTATGCTCCATGAAGGCAGGGACTTTGTTGTACCTCCAGGGCCAGAACTGGCACACCAGAGATGGATACTATTTGTTGAGTCAATAAATTATATGTTTTTTGTTGCATCTTCCCAATAAGTGGTCTTTATTCAAACGTTGCAGCTTCAGTAAACCTCTATTTCGCTGTGAACAGATTAGTCTCAATCCTAGTGTTTAATTTACCCCGAGTGAAAGTAACACCTTTCTCTTAAGCGGCAAGATGCATTAGTCTTTACAGTAAGATTTTTCATGGCAAAACAAAAACAAAAACAAAAACAAAAAAAATCCATTCTTTTTCTTCCCTTTCTTTAGCTCTGGGGATGCCAGGCAAGAAGGAGATGATGGGGTAGATAATGGTTACTTTGTAATTTTCTGGAAGATCATGCTGGTTCTACTAGAAGACTTTTACCTACTTGATTGGATGCTCTTCAAGCTGAACTCCTTCCATTTGTGATAGTATTTGGACCGTTTCCAGAATATATTATAAGGTTTTCTTTCCAATTAAATTTTTAGGTTAAAGTTCTCATTTGAATCAGAAATACAAGAAAATTTGTTTAAGCCTTGAAGATAGAAATTGGCAAACATATTCCCCCCTCCCAGAGGTAACAGGTGGTAGGTTATTAAGAGTTACTTGTTGAGCTGAGCAGTGGAGGCACACATGAAGGAATGATCAGTTTTGCCTGGGACGGCTTCAGAAAGAATGAGACACTTAGATTGAAGAAAAAGAATAAGTCAGTAATCAACAATAAACAACTAAATTTTAATGTTGCCACTTACCTTAATTTTCTTCATGTAAAATATGAATATGAAATTAGCTCACTTTTAGAACAGTAGCTTAAGTAACAATGACTTCTCCCCCATTTAGAAAATTGCTGCTTTATATAGAAAAATGCACTTCATTCTTACCACTTTTTATGCGAAGGATGCAAAGCAAACCCCAGATTATTCCCAAGACAAAATGATGATTTAGCACCTTTCTTAAATATTAACTTTATGGGTCTATGACTGCATGTATTTTTATATTTAGACATAAAAAACTTTTAGAATTTGTAATTATCAATACACTTACTTATTTCATTGTCTTGTCCTATGATTTTCCATAGATTCTATTATTTGGTCAGAATCAAAGCTAAAAGATGTTTCGCAACAAATGAAATTTAGAAATCAAGGAAAATTCTGCCATATAATCCTGAATGCACCCAGAATGCGTGGTGCTTTTGAGTACATAAAGTTGTTGGGCCATATTGTCCTAAATTACTTGTGTTTTGTGGTCCTATCATACCCATCTTTAAGTAAATTATATTTTATTGTAGAAATGTGTTTTCTAGATGATTTAAATGGGTATTAATAACAGAATGGCACAATGCAGTTCCTGTAGACTTGCTAACTATCGTATGTCTAGCTCTTCCCCTTAGGAACGGAAAGGAAGACAAAGATCATAATTATTTTAGGGTAGATAAAACATTTCAAATGAACAGATTATTTAAATTGTATTTAAGATAAAGTACTAAGATGAATGTGGTCAAACAATAATGAATGATGCAGGCTTAAGTGCTATGAACAACTAAGGGAACATATATTAATATTATCTAGAATTATCATGGAAGTCATAGCAATTGAGGAAAAGGAATTGAGATGCCCCTTGGACCTTAGGCAAGACTGGCATAGAATTCGCAACATCATTCTAAGCAGTAAGAACATGATGAATGAAGATTGCACGTACAGAACACCATAAAGATTATCTGACCTACAATACAAGATACGTGTTTCTAGAGAAATATTTATTTATATGGCATGGTAGGGTTGACAAAATGTCCTTCTTAAGTTGACTGTCAGTGAAAGTATGGCCTAAAGCAAATAAACTTTTCTAGTTCAGGTTTCCCATGGATCAATTTTAAGAAAATTATCTTAATCCTGAAAAGAGTATTTCCTTCAGCATATTACATGAAACCCTGTTTTAAAATACTTTTAACCAAAACCCTTTGTATAAAGCAGGGTTCTCCTTGCTGTTATATTAGCTTTAATTCTATGAATTATATTAACCTTGTCTTAGATTAGGGTTTTTTAATGTAAAAATATGTTATATATTCAAATAAGTTTTAGAAATGCTATATCACTATTAATTTTTTTCACAGCTACATGAATGAGTTTTCAGAGTCTTTAATATACTTCTGTGAATTGTGAACCTCCAAGAGAAAATTTAACTCACATCAAAAATAAGTATCTTCCCTCCTTATTTTTTTTCTTTTTGTAGCAATGACAAGGATTAACATTTCTTGGGACAAACTTTAGAAAATTCTGACTTAAAACATCTCCATATATATTTAAAAGGAAATATTTATTGAGATAAGTCTCTAATTTTGGAGTAGATATACTTATACTCTCCCAAATCATTATTAGCCAACCTATCTTGCTAGTGGATAGGAAACAAAGAAAGGAAATGCAACTATAAGTGTATGGGTAATTTTTCCAAACGTTTGGCACACAGTACAAGCTGAATACACTGTTTGAGTCCAATTTTCTCAAAAATTCAAATCTATAACAAGTGACAGAAACCAAGGAAGAAAATTTTAATAATGTTTTTAAACAAGTATTTAAAAAATATTGACCCTTATTTTGCCACAATCTCAGGGAGAATATATTTTTTTAACACTGTTAGGGAACATTATAGATAGCCTTGAAGGAAAAATTTTCAAGGATAGTTTGAAGAGTTTACCTTTAGAAATGTAAATTTCCTTATTTCTCTAACTAATCGTTTACCAATAGCTCCAGTAATCAGGGTAGAGATACACCACATGGTTGACCATGTTTTATGATGGAGGGAGCATAGCCTACTTAGAAAAGTCCATCTGAAGAAAGAAAGCTTGGTGAAGAGTCATTTGCTTCTAAAAAGAGTTAGTCAACTCATCTTTCTGGAGTTAACAGTGATAATCAAACAGAAAAAAATACTTGACTCAAAGTCCTGTTAATGAGGCAGTTCAGTAAATTGTATGGAAGTGTATACAATTCTATACAGCTTTTGCACCAGTGAACGTGAAATGTCATATGGGTCAGGGAAAGTGAGAGAAGGCAGGAAGGTGTTACCAACACACACTGAGGGAGTCACCAGAGCATCCTCTGTAGATCAAATAAAGCCCATCAGCACGTAACTAGATGGTGATGAGGCTGAGAAAGAGCGTGAAGGATGTTAGTTCAGTGCGATGCAAACTGACAGCTATTTGTGGAGTTTGGCCTGCTTAGAATAGTTTTTCCATTTCCCTTTATCAGTGAATGAAGACTGCAGACATTTCCAAACAGGTTTCTTTTAAAAGACTAAAATTTAACATAGAAGGTACTGTCTCATGTTGATTGTTGATAATAGGCTATTAAAGGTCATACATTCAATGAAAGCAGAAAATCAAAGAGCAGTGTAGTATTAAAAATCTCATCTTAAAAATTCTGTTGAGATTTATTAACTGAATCTGGCAGTGTTAATACATAGCTCATTTATTTTATCAAAGGAGAAATGTTATCCAAAGTAAGCAATTTGTAATACTGTATGAAAATATTTTATATACAGATATAGTGTCAAAATTAAATACACATATTTCATTAATTAAAAGGTAAACATATATTATTATCTTAAAAATATACCTCCCAAATTACAAAGTTACTTAGATAAGTTATAATCTATATAAATGACAAAGTAACTCATTACTAAGGTTTAACATCCTTAGACTAGGTGAATTTATTTTTATTTTATTTTATTTTTTTGAAATTATCCTTTTTTCATGTCAAAACATTTGCTATGCCATTTATTGAAGGTACTGTGTTACACATTCATGATTAATTAAATGTCTTGAAATCTCTTTTAGGTATCTTGGACCTTATTATGCTGTTGCTTACTTAGGTATATGACTCTCTTATTCTCATGGGCATTATCCATATATCATTGTTAACCCTAAAACATCTCCAGCACAGAAGATGACAATTTTCACTCTAAATACAGTATAATAGATTCATAGTGAACCATAAAATTATTTTGACAGCAAAGCAATGTCAATTTTGCATCTTTGAAACCGTTATATACTTCATAGATTTAATGTCTGGAAATATTTAAACAGGCTTAAAAAGTATTATTGCAACTGATACCTTACATGGATTGTCTTACAAAAATCAGTACAGAATTATACTGATTGATATATGTTCACATATGTAAGAAATAGTTTGTTGACTGGAGCATTCAGTTTCCATTGTTTGTATCCATCTTCTAGTAATACAGTATGCATTTCTCAATTGCTCTAATCCATTTTGACCATGGTGCATTCAGTAACTTCTAGGAAGCATTCCACTCTGAAAAACTGCATAAGCAGATAGATTGTTGGAGGATGCAACTAAAGTTCGTGTTTCTATATTGCCACTCCATATTTTTCAGTGTTCTTTAGTGCCCATCAAAATTTTATTCCAACAAGTTTTTATCTTTTGTAGTAGTCTCTTTAGGAAACATGAGTCATTCAGTTTTTTCTGTTCCTTTAAAGATTTATTTTCTTCCTAGAGAATAGAGTTTTAAAAGTTTAAACTTCACATTTTTACAAAAATATATATTTTAAAATACTCAATTTTTCATCATATTACTTTATGCTGAAAAACTGGTGTAATGAAAAGGTAGAATTTTGTGTGACATTTTAAAGATGATGGTTTCTAACTACCCTTGTGATAAATGACACATAGAAAATTCAAAGTTGGTGTGATTAAAGATTTAGGATTCTCCAAAGAGCTATATCAGCTGACTGCCAGTTTCACAGTTTAACAGTGGACATAATATACTGTTTAGAATTTCGTGAGAAAGGTAATTGTAGGTTACTCAGTTGAGTTTCTTTAATGTAGAAAAATGTATTTTTAATGGGAAGAATAATCAACATCGAAAATACTCAGATTATTTTGCCAAAGATAATTAATAAGGATATAGCTGATGGAGCTTGTACCCTAAGGTCTACTCCAACAATTAACTTCACTGGAGTATGTCAGATGCCTGCCTCATAAGCTAGGTTTTAGCACCTGACAAAAATCTTAAAAAGGGCTATGTGCACAACCTATAGGAAGAAAGAGATACTTGGCGTGAACAGACATATAAAGGAGTAACTCCGTATAGACTCAGTTATATTTCTCTGAGTTCTCTGACCTGTGAGAATGGGAATACTGCAGGGTAGAGTAATTCTTCACTTAGACAACAACTAGTTAATCACAAATATAAAGCATACTAGTGACTTTTACCCCTTCCTAGACCACGAGGTAATATCAGTTGTTTGTTTTACACTCTTTACAGTTGAGCCCAGACTTGAGGGTTAAAATCAACAGTGTTTTCAACAATCACTACTAAGTAAATGGATGTGCAAACAATATAAAAACTATTATAACTAGTTATTACAACTAGTTATTCAGTAACTAGATAATTTAGATAACAGGTTATTGGGTATTCTCTCAGTCATGTATTGTGCTCAGTGTTTTACATAATTTACTTCATTTTATTTGCCTAATCATCTTATGAACTTGATGATTTGAACTCATTTCACAGATGCAAAAACTGATCTGCAGGAAGATAAATAAGCTGCTACCATATATGTCAAGTAAATATAATAACTGAATCTTGAGCTCCTTTGTCCTATATTTAATTTGGCCACAAATTCAGATCTCTTTTTGTCATGTATTAGTAACACTAGCACATACTTTTTAAAGAATACATTTCAAAGATTAAACAACAGATCTCAAAGGGAAATATAAAGGCAAACTTTTCATATTATTTTCAATAAGGGGTCCTGGACAATTTTTTTAAGTACAAGTTGAAGTTGACTTGCCTAAGCAGATTTGAAATATATAGATGTGAAAATTTAATACTTTTCCTCGGACACTGAGAATAAGCATTCACTAAAAAGTAAAAAACAGGGAATCTTGGTTTTACCACTGCATCCTGGGAAAATAGTTGTTTTCTTTTCTTGTCTTTTTTTGTTTTTTGTTTTGTTTTGTTTTTTGGTTTTTGTTTTGAGATGGAGTCCCACTCTATTGCCCAGGCTAGAGTGCAGTGGCATGATATTGGCTTACTACAAATTCCGCTTCCTGGGTTCAAGCATTTCTCCTGCCTCAACCTCCTGAGTAGCTGGGACTACATTCGTGCACCATGCCCAGCTAACTTTTGTATTTTTAGTAGAAACGGGGTTTCACCATGTTGGCCAGGATGGTCTTGATCTTTCCACCTCGTGATCCGCCCACCTCGGACTCCCAAAGTGCTGGGATTACAGGTGTGAGCCACTGCACCCAACCTTTCTTTTCTAAACTTCCTTTCCAGATTATCTTAGTTGAAAGCCTTCAGCGTGTTTATATTGTTTTTAGCTCCTGTATTAATTTCAGATGTTCCACTTTGCATGGAATCCCTAGAGTTTCCTAAATCTGAGTATACAGGCTCACTCTGCTTTTCTGAAAAGAATAAGGCATTTCCATGTTGCCACATAGCTATTGGTCAAATAATGGAAATGTAAAAGAAGAATCCATCACTTTTATGAACCAGGTGTGCTCATTTTTCTATGCCTCAACCTAATTAATATCTATATCATTTTAAAGTTTAGTCAGATCCAGTTAAGTATTCTGCCTTATTAAGTCATTCATAAATATTTTCCATATTATTGTATAATTTATCTAATAATATCTAGTAGTATATGTATAAATATGTTTATATACTATTATATATTATACTGTACAATCTACAATAATAAAAGAGGTATAAGATAAGTCCTTATTGTTTAATTTTTATTTCTTTACAAACTAACAGGGATGGCTTTTTTTCTTCATGTATTTGTCATCTAGTTTATTTTCTCCTATATAAATTATTTGTTTATTTCTTTTACCTACTAACTACAATATTTTGATGTTGCTGCTTCTAAAAAAAATCATGCTTTGGCATTTGCCCTAACAGCTTCTCTTATAAAATAGTGGATTTAAAAATGCAATTTAAAGGACTCAAATTTTTGAGGGGCACTTCACTTCTCCTTTTATCAATGTTATGATAAATTATTTCAAAACCAGCTATAAGAAGCAAACAATTCAAGATGAAAAATTAGGAATTAAGTTGAGTGAAAAGTTGATGAACCATAAAGATAATTATACAATTATTCTCACCAAACTCTTTGTTGGTTGGGGTTCACCCAGGGCAGCTGGTTTTCTTCCTTTAACCTTAAAAACAAAGTCACATTTATGATATTGAATATTTCTTCATTGCTCCTCCAATTGTTTGTAATTGCTAATTTTCATATTGCCTTCAGCTCATCTAATCTATTTGAGATTCTACTTTAAATTTCTTATTGTTAAGAAAGTAAAACATTAATATCATTTAGAAATGGAATGTCAGGGTAAAGGAAGAAGCAAGAGAGTTCAATCTTCTGAACACCCAGAATCCATAATTTTGTAGGTATGCCTAGCACTGTGAAAAATTAACATAGTAGGGTATACTAACAGAGATAAAACTTGAATTTTAATCAATATAAAAATAAAGTTAACAAGAAATTGTTAAATCCTGGCCATACATTTTATTAAGCTTCACTTGTCAGAAACAAAATGAAATAAAACAATAGTAAAAAGCATGTATCATGCCTGGCTCATGAAGAAAATTCAGTTTAGCTGATTGCTTTAACATCTTGCCTTGTTATTTCAAGAAAAGGGTAACTTGTATCAAGTTAGTCAATGTTGTAATATAATTTAATTTCAAAGATTTAAATTATTCGCATATTTTCTTTCTCTACAGTTAGTTAATTTTGGAACATGATGATCCATACAAAGCTCAACACATAAGAGAAAGAATCACAAATATATAACATACCTAAGACCTTTACCCCTTCCTAGACCAAGAGGTGATATCAGTTGTCTGTTTTACACTTTTTTCAGTTGAACCAAGAGTGGAGGCTTATCATCAACATAGTATTTTCAACAGTCACAACTAATTAATTGGATGTACAAGCAACATACAACCTATTTGCATTAGATAAATGCAAATAACTATAAGTAGGAAAGAAGAAATGGTAGACTAGAGTAGGAAGTCTTCATGAAACTTGAACTGAACCTTGAAGGCATAGAACAAAATAGATCCAATTTATAGAAAAAAAAAAAGTAGAAATGCTCTCTAGGGGACAAACGTAAGGACCCAGGTTTGGAAATAAGCTTGGCAAATCCAGCACACTAAGAGGAGACTGGCTTCCATCGAGTACATAAAGCAATGATAAATGAGGCTGTCCAAGTTATATAATAGACAATCTACATTTTTATCACATCAATAGGGTTCAAAGATAGTCTTACCATTTTACCTTCTATGGGAAACTACTAGTGCTCAAACAAAACAAAATTATTTTTTAAGTCATAAAAATGTTATTTAAGAAAACATTTAAAACCATAAAATAACCTTTTGAGTTTGTGTGGCAGCTGGTAAAAATCCATAAAGAGGTAAATAATACAAATAAAATAAAACATTGTATTAAATATTGAAAACTTTTTAGTACTAAGCACTTTACATGTGTTATGCCATTTAATCCTTTCAAATCCTACAATATAGATATTATGTTTTTCTGCATTTCGTAGATAAGGAAACTGCTGTCCAGTCTCTAGATGATGTCTTCCATATTTGGTTTTGTTGTTTTAGTTCATAACCACTAGTAGAAATGTAGGAAAATATTAGCCCTATTTGTATCAAAATTATTTAAAGAAGGGGGAAATTGTTGGATATATATATGTCTAGTTTAAGCATAAAAAGATATTTGTTAAATACATTTGATTTCCTGTTTTATTCACTAGGAGTTCTTATAAATGTGTACATATATGGATTAAAGATATTGATGAGTTTTAGATATAGAAATTTACCATTCTCCACCCAATATATCACCCTAGTATCCTTGGAAGTTATTATGGCAATGAAGCATTTATTTATTTATTTTTTACTCCCCTTTCACAAACAATTCACTCTAGCCAAGATATAAACAAGTATTTCCAAACCGAGCCTTTCCTCTTCTAGGATTGAGTAAATATACTTCAACTTTAGATGATAATAAACACTTAGGATTCTATGATAATGGATATGATCACCAGAGAATAGTGATATCTTAGCACAGGAGTAGTTAATATTTTCATTCAAAGTAAATAGTCCTTAGCTTACCTTGCCGGTGCAGTTCAAAAGTATTGTTGTGCCTTCTGAAACTTTTAATAAGTGGAGATCAAAATCACCAGTGCTATTCATTTTAAGAAATTGCTTCAACTTGCGAGCAGCACGGAATAAAAACATACCTTCCTATTACAAGAAAAAGTCAGAAGGGCCATGGTTCAAAAAAAATATTAATAAATGATAAGCTTTCTTAAGGAGCCTGGAGCTTGAGCTATATTGGTAGATAATGCCCCACCTCCACCCCAGCTTTCTATTCCAGTTAATCATGTGACTGACAAGTAACAGAACTAAAACTGTTTGACTCCTAGGTGACAGCAAGAAGTTCTTGGAACTTGGTTTAATGATTATCTTGACTTTTAAAGTTTGTTTTCTCTATTGTGCTTATGTGATCTTATCGCTTATATGTGAATATATTACAAGATTATTCAATTTTAAACATGATAGCTGAAGGAGAAGGCTTCTGGAAGCAACAATATATTATAAGAGGTATGTGTGGTTTTTTCTTATTATTTCTTGCATCTTTTGAGCTATGGATGTATAGCTGATAATAAGAAAATAAAGGACTGTAGTCACCTAAAACATAAGTTTTGCAGTTATTTAAATTAAGATATTTTTTAAAAAGAATTTATGGTTTTGAGATGCCATGAGGCTAACTTAGCTACTGTGAGTTTTAAAAAGACTATGAAATAGCACACCCGTTTCTGTAAGGAGAAATGACATAAACTTTTTAGGTTTTGTCAAGTGTAATATTATACCAACTAGATGTGGTAATCATTTAGAGATAAGCAAATACTGACAGAAAAATTTTCAAGATGCTTCTGACTAAATTATACCAATGACTTATATTTGTATGTGTGCAAGCAATCACATTAACAAGTATTTTTCTGTATAAGAACTTTTAGAGGCCGGGCAGGGTGGCTCACGCCTATAATCCCAGCGCTTTGGGAGGCAGACGCAGGCTAATCACTAGGTCAGGAGATCAAGAAACCCTGTCTCCACTAAAAATACAAAATCAGCTGGGTGTGGTGGTGCATGCCTGTAGACCCAGTTACTCGAGAGACTGAGGTAGGAGAATCGCTTGAACCCAGGAGGCGGAGGTTACAGTGAGCCGAGATTGCCCACTACACTCCAGTCTGGCGACAGAGTGAGACTCCGCCTCCAAAAAAAAAAAAAAAAAGAAACAAAGAAATTTAGAAATAAGAGATAGGTGTGTCTTTGAATTTGACAATTCTAGTATTTTCAAGGTAAAAAAATAGAATGATTAAACAGAAAGAAAACTTGTTATCTAATAAGCACAGGGCTATTTGTAAAATTGGACCATAGTATGATCTAATCAATGGGAATTATGTGGTCAGACTGCAAATATTAATAGTATTCATATAATTCTCTAACAGAGGCACAAAAAATATAAGCTTCTATAAAATCAAGCTTGAATGACAAACTCCAAATAATTATCATTACCTTATTATCATCACATAGATGTCTTTTAAAAAAGTTAAATTCATTATTCAGGCAATTGCTACCAATTTCTTTCATGCTGTCCTGTAATAAATAACATAAAATAATGAGGTTAAAACTGAGTACTTTTCTAATATCTTATAATTATAAAAATAATAATCTTATAATATCTGGTATTTATATGTGCATTTTAAGGAAAATAACTTGCCTGGCTCAGCTGACTAAGCATGAGGAATAGTTTCCTATAGTTGAAGGATAAAAAAGTGTATACAAAAATTCTTTCATATTTAGAGCCCCTCCCAGATCCCATAATTGAATCCCAGAATTCACTAAGAGAACCTGGCTCATCTAGGGAAATAAAAGTATCTATTTTAGAAGTTATGCTATATAGACAAAGTATTATAAAATGTGAAGTCATTAAGTTGAGATGAATTTAAGAGGTTATTCAGTCAAATTTCCTCCCATCAACAAACAACAAGAAAAGGAATTTATATTAGAATTAAGGGATCCATACAAAGCTCAACACATAAGAGAAAGAATCACAAATATATGACATACGTAAGACCTTTACTCCTTCCTAGCCAAGAAGATTTCAGCTGTTTGTTTTACATTCTTTTCAGTTGAGCTGAGACTTCAGGCTTATAATCAACATAGTATTTTCAACAGTCAACTAATTAATTGGATGTGCAAGGAATATAAAACCTATCTGCATTAGACAGTACTTTGAAATTGACAGTGAGAATTAAGGTTGAAATTTATTCACAACATTTTTAGTAATCCAATTTTCTGGGATGGTTAAGGTAGAATTTTCCTGAGACACGGTGTAATTGCATGTGTGTGTATTATAAACATAGGAGTGGGAAAGCAGACTGGTATGTGCTCTTTTTTTTTTTTTATTTATAAGGAATGTAGTAGAAGAAGGTAGAGATTACCTAAATCAATAATTTAGTTGATATTAGGAAAAACTTCCTAAGGTTTCAGATTTTCGTATGCACTTGGTTGGACTAACTCTGTCCAGCAAACTAGCAATTCCATGCTATCAGAGCTTCTAGGACTAAAAGCAATCTTAGCCTACATAATGTCTCCAGAGAAACAGGATAAGAAGTGAAGCAATGGCAGGATTTAGTCATGGGCTTTGAATCCTCATGTGCCTCTCAGAAAAGTATTCATTACTCTTATCTCCTGTGAAAAGCATGATGATGTCTGGGTTTACCCTGATTTTAAAATGTATATACTATCAGTTTTATCTAGAAGAAGTGTCTGAATACATACATCTCAAGTGTAAAAGATACATTTTCAGTAACTATCTTCACATTGCCATTGTACATATTCCTGAAAATGTAGTGGATAATTAATATTTGCCTATTAAGTTATTTTCATGTTGACTTCCCCTTACCCAAAGGACAATAACTCATACATAATTTTTTTCTTTGATAAAACAAAGAGTTTTTAATTTTTACCATGTCATCCTTCAAAAAAGAAGTTGAAATATGTGCAACTACTCTATATGATATCTTCCAATTCACCAAAAATATCATATGAGACAATATGTCACATAATGAATGCCAATTTCTTGAAACATTTTAGCAAATTGCATGACACACGAATATTTAAAAAGCCATATTGGTTAGGTGGCTGTTCTAGGTTATTAATAAAACTTATTTTTGGCAGATCCACAGAAAGATAATGTTATACCAGTTGATTTTTTTTACCTAATGCTTGATACAGAATGTAAATGGGTTACTATAGCCTTAAAAAGTTGACTCCTATAGAGGTCACAGTTATTAATTCATCGACCTTAGTACATTTTATTAATGCATCCGGTATAGATCTATATGACTGCCAATTACTGTTGCTTTCTAAAATACTCTTCATTCATGCCCAGTCAGAAGAATGGCTCAGAGTAAGAATTACAGATACATGGTGTTGGAAAGAAACTTAAATGGCCATCTTTTGATTTAACAAGGAATAGAATTACTTGACCAAAGTCACAATAATTGTTTATTATTCACATGTCACATATGTCCAGATGCAAATAAGAAATCACAGCTGGGCACGGTGGCTCACGCTTGTAATCCCAGCACTTCGGGAGGCCAAGGCGGGTAGTTCGCGAGGTCAGTAGTCCGAGACCAGCCTGGCCAACATTGTGAAACCCCATCTCTACTAAAAATTAAAAAAAAAAAAAAAAAAAAAAATTAGCTGGGTGTGTTGGCACATGCCTGTAATCTCAGCTACTTGGGAGGCTGAGGCAGGAGAATCGCTTGAACCCAGGAGGCGGAGCTTGCAGTGAGCCGAGATCACACCACTGCACTCCAGCCTGGGCAACAGAGCAAGACTCTGTCTCAGAAAAAAAAAAAAAAAAAAAAAAATCATATATCACATATGTCAAGATGCACATAAACAAATTTCTTCAAATATTTTATGAATGTGGAAAATCAAAAGAGAAAAGCCAGGATTATAAGACTGAACTGCAGTATTTTCTAGTATAAAACATGACATTGTCTAAGTTCTTTTTTTTAGGTGAAGTTATTTATTTATTTTTTTGAGACGGAGTCTCGCTCTGTCACCCAGGCTGGAGTGCAGTGGCCGAATCTCAGCTCACTGCAAGCTCCGCCTCCCAGGTTCATGCCATTCTCCTGCCTCAGCCTCCCGAGTAGCTGGGACTACAGGCGTCCGCCACCTCGCGCGGCTGGTTTTTTGTATTTTTTAGTAGAGACGGGGTTTCACCGTGTTAGCCAGGATGGTCTCTATCTCCTGACCTCGTGATCCGCCCGTCTCGGCCTCCCAAAGCGCTGGGATTACAGGCTTGAGCCACCGCGCCCAGCCGAAACCTAGTGTCCATTCGTTGTTTTTTTATCCTCTCCCTCTTCCTACCGTCCATCCTCTAAAAAGCCCTGGTGTGTATTGTTCCCCTGTGTGTGTCCATGTGTTCTCATCATTTAGCTGCCACTTATAAGTGAGAACATGTGGTATTTGGTTTTCTGTTCCTGTATTAGTTTGCTAAAGATAATGGCCTCTAGCTCCATCCATGTCCCTGCAAAGGACATGATCTCATTGATCTCATTCTTTTATATGGTTGCATAGTGTTCCATGGTGTATATGTACCACATTTTCTTTATCCAGTCTGTTATTGATGGTCATTTAGGTTGATTCCATGTCTTTGCCATTGTGAATAGTGCTGCAATGAACATACACGTGCATGTGTCTTTAAAACGGAATGATTTATATTCCTTTGGGTATATGCCCAGTAATGGGACTGCTGAGTCGAATGGAATATCTGTCTTTAGGTCTTTGAGAAATTGCCGTACCATCTTCCACAATGGCTGAACTGATTTACATTCCCACCAACAGTGTATAAGCATTCCCTTTTCTTCACAACCTTGCCAGCATGTTATTTTTTGACTTTTTAATTATAGCCATTCTGACTGGTGTGATGTGGTATTCCATATTTCCTGGAGGTTGTGTTCATTCCTTCTCATTCCTTTTTCTCTACTCCTGTCTGCCCGCCATATTTCATAAAGTCAGTCTTCAAGCTCTGAAATTCTTTCCTCTGTTTGGTCTATTCTACTATTAATACTTGTGATTTTATTATGAAATTCTTGTAGTGTGTTTTTCAGCCCTATCAGGAGGATTAAGTTCTTCTCTATACTGGCTATTCTGAACCCTTACTGGAGAGGTAATGAGGTCAGTTGGAGGAAAGAGGGCACTCAGGCTTTTTGAGGTTTCAGCATTCTTGCTCTGATTCTTTCTCATTTCTGTGAACTTATCTAATCTACCTTCAATGTTCGATGTTGCTTACCTTTGGATTTTTTTTTTTTTTCTTTTTTTTCGTGGCACAATTCAGCCACTTTACCATAGGGATGCTGTGGTTTGCGGGGGGTGTACTCCAGTCCCTAGTTGCCTTGGATTTTTCAGTAGCTGAAGGGATCACCAATGAAGGCTGCAGAAGAGTAAAGATGGCAGCCTGCCACTTCTTCTAGGAGCTCTGGCCCAGGGAGGTACGAACCTGTTGCCCGGTGGAACGCACCTGCAGGAGGTGGCTGGAGATCCAGGTTGGGAGGTCTTGCCCAGTCAGGAGGAAGAGGATCAGGACCCACTTATAGAAGAAGTCTGGCCATGCTTTTGTAGAGCAGCTGTGCAGTGCTGGGGTAACGCTTCACTCCTGTTGGCTTGGGCTCTCCAAAGCCTGCAGGCTGGACAGGCTCAGTACCCAAATAGCAGAGATGGCAGCCCACACCTCCCTCTGGGACCTCTGTCCCAGGCAGTTTTCAGATCTCTGTAGGCCAGAGAACACGAGCGGGGATGGCTGGAGGCCCTGCTTGGGAGGTCCTGCCCAATAAGGAGGGATGACTCAGGGACCTGAGTCTGACCACGTGTTGGTCAGAGCAGTTGTGCTGTGTTGGGGGATCCCTTCTGCCCCTGATCGGTTTGGACTCTTCAAAGCCTGCAGGCTGAAAAAGATCACTCACCCAAACAGTGAAGATGGTGGCCTGCCCCTCTCCCTGGGAACTCCATCCCAGGTAGGCACAACACTGCTGCTGGTGGCTGGCTGGAATTCCAAGCCAATGTGTCTTATCCTTTGAGGCACCATGGAAGTGGGGCTCACAGACCATCGCTCCTTGGACCCTGGATTCAGCCTCTTTCCTAAGGGTATGCACACAGATCTAATATCCTGCTTTTCTGGAGTTGCAGTTACTTTTGCCAGGAAGCCTGGAGCTGGAATATCTACAGTTCCTGTTCTCCAACATGTGCCTGAGCAGCTGAAGACTCCCATATCTCTGTGTGTTAGACTGAAAGCCCTGGTGGAGTGGGTTCAAGAGGGGATCTCCCAACTCGAGGTTGCAAAGATCCGTGGGAAGAGTGTAGTTCCCGGGTCACATATTCACTCACCACTTCTCTGGGCAGGGGAGGTTCACTTGGCTGGGTGTCATGCCCAGGTGGGCTGTCGTCCTGACTTTCTTTTCTATGTTCTCCATGGGACAAGTTGTTTCCTTGATTAATCCCTATGTGATAACTTGTATGTTTCAACTGAAGGTGCTGTATTTACTTGCCCTTTTGTTCCTCTTTGTGAGAACCACTCACAC